AGAAACTGTTGAACACTGAGACAGACTTTCCAGCAAGATTTATTTATTTTTTGATTCACTAATCTCTCTACCATATTTGGAACAGTATGATTTTTATACATCAGTATGTGGAGGACAATGATATATGAATGGTGTTTTACATTTTTGTTACATTCTTATGTCTTTACTTTTTTCTCCTTGTTCGTATTCCTCCTCTCATCTACTGTCTTGGATTTTCTTTCCAATTTTTCTCCAACCCACAGCCAATCTCTGTTGGCTCCTCTTCCACTCTTCCTGTGAATTTTTACTTCTAGATTCTCTCTTCCTCCTTCATGAATATCACATACTACATACCTCTGTTCTCTCATCCACCATTTGAAATTGTAAATCATTTTAACAAATATTCTATTTGTACTATAAATAGTTATTGAAGTCAACATTTTGGTTCAATATGAGAAAGCAGTAGACCCCTTAGTGGGAGCTATTAGGTTTAAGACTATATATTGTGTGCACTGGGTGCTGTTGCGATTGGTCTCACCAGTAGAGGAGAAGTGCTGAAAATCTTCGGGGACACTATAGGTCTACAGGGTAGAATTTATCCTGACTTAGATCCATACTGCTAGATGGGAAAACACACTAACAACATGAAAAAACAAGGGAATAAAGCACCCCAAACAAACCAAGATGCTTCAACAACAGTAGCCACTGATAACACAATAGGAGAAATGTCCTAGAAGGAGTTCAGAATGTATACAGTTAAATTGAAGTGTGAAGTGAAGGATAGTATTAAAGGAATGAAATCAAAGAAAAAATACAGGAAGTGAAAGACCACTTCAATAAAAAGTTAAGAGATCATAAAAAAAATAAGCAGAAATCCTCTAAATGAAGGAATCAGTAAACCAAATTATAAATTTAATAGAAAGCATCACCAACAGACTAGACCACTTGGAAGACAGAACCTCAGACAATGAAGACAAAATATATAATCTTGAAAGTAGAGTTGACCATGCAGAGAAGATGGTAAGACACCATGAACAGAACATCCAAGAATTATGGGATAACATGGAAAAACCAAATTTAAGAGTTATCAGAACAGATGAAGTAATGGCAGAAAATTCCCCAAATCTATAGAATGGAAAATCAAATACAAGAGGCTTACAGGACCCCAAATGTACAAAATCACAGCAGACCCACACCAAGACACATGATGATGAGAATGACTGACACAGAGAATAAAGATAAAATCTTAAAGGCTCTGAGAGAAAAAAATCAAATTACGTATGGGGGAAACCAATTCAGATCTCAACTGATTTCTCAACCCAGACCCTCAAAAGTAGGAGGTCCTGAATAATATATTTCAAGCTCTGAAAGAAAACAAATGCCATCCAAGAATTTTATATACAGCAAAATTAAGTTTCAGATTTGAAGATGAAATTAAAACATTCCATGATAAACAAAAATTAAAGGAATTTACAACTACAAAGCCTACACTTCAGAGCATTCCCACAAAATATTCCATGATGAAGTTAAAAAAAAAAAAAAAAAGTGAAAACCGGCAAAGGGAGGATCTACACTAAAGGGACATGCAATCAAATGAGAAACTAGGACAAATCAAAAACCAGAAATAAATCAAAATGACAGGGAATACCGTCATTATTATTGATATCTCAATAATAACCTTGAATGTTAATGGCCTAAATCAATCAATCAAAAGACACAGATTGTCAGATTGGATTAAAAAGCAAGGCCCAACAATATGCTGTCTTCAGGAGACTCACCTCATGGGCAAAGACATCACAGGCTGAAGGTAAAAGGAGGGGAAAACTTATCACTCATAGGGATTGCGTAAACAAGCAGGGGTTTCCATCCTCATCTCAGATAAAGTAGACTTCAAACCAAAGTTAATCAGAAGAGACAAAGAAGGACATTTCATACTTCTTAAAGGAAATATATATAAGCAGGACATAACAGATATGTACAATGGAGCATCTACGTACATCAAACAAACCCTTCTAGATTTCAAGAGTCAAACAGACCATAATACAATAATACTGGGTGACTTTAACACACCTCTCTCACTATGGAAAGATCTCCCATTCTCTGGAATAAACAGAATTAATATTGTCAAAATGGCCATACTACCAAAAGCGTTATACAGATTTAATGCAATGCCTATTAAAATCCCAATTTGTCTCTGGACACAGAGACAAACCCACATAAATACAGTAGAAGACAGGAAATAATTAAAATCAGAGCAGAAATTAATAAAATTGAAACAAATGAAACAATTGAAGAAACTGACAAAACAAAAAGTTGGTTCTTTGAAAAAATAAATAAAATAGATAAACCCCTGGCCATGCTAACAAAGAGAAAAAGAAAACTCAAAAATTACTAAAATACAGGATGAAGAAGGAAATATCACAAGGGACACATCTGAAATACAGAAGGTAATTAGATACTATTTCGAAAATTTATACTCTAATACAATAGAAAATATCAAAGACATTGTGACAAATTTCTAGAGACGTATGACCCACCCAAACTGAATGAGGAGGTCATACATGATTTCAACAGATCAATTTCAAATAATGAAGTAGAAAATGCCATCAAAAGCCTACCAACCAAGAAAAACCCAAGACCAGATAAATTCTCAGCCAAGTTCTACAAGACTTTCAAAGGAAAATTAACACCAATACTCCTCAAAGTAGTCCATGAAATAAAAAAGGAGGGAACCCTTCCAAATTCATTCTATGAGGGTAATATCACCGATACCAAAACCAGCAAAGACACATCAAGGAAAGAAAACTTCACAAATCAAGGATGAAATTTAAAAAAATCTTATCTCTGATAAACATTGATGCAAAAATTCTCAATAAAATTCTGGAAAATCACATACAAAAACATATTAAAAAGATAGTGCACCACGATCAAGTGGGATTCATCCCAGGAATGCAGGGTTGGTTCAACATATGGAAATCAATAAACGTAATTCATCATATTAATGGACTTAAAAACAAGAATCACATGATCATCTCAATAGATGCAGAAAAAGCATTTGACAAAGTACAGCACACCTTCATGTTCAAAACACTAGGAAAACTAGGGATAATTGGAACATTCCTCAACATGGCAAAAGCTATATATGCTAAACCCAACGCCAGGATCATTCTAAATGGAGAAAAATTGAAAGCATTCCCTCTAAAAACTGGAACAAGACAAGGATGTCCTCTTTCACCACTTCTATTCAACATCATCCTTGAAACTCTAGACAGAGCAATTAGACATTAAAGAGATTCAAATAGGTAAAGAAGCACTCAAGCTACCACTATTTGCTGATAACATGATTCTATATCTAGAAGATCCAAAAAATTCCAGAGTAACAGGATATAAAATCAATACCCATAAATCAAATGCATTTCTATATATCAGCAATGAATCCACTGAAAGAGAAATTAGAAAAACTACTCCATTCACAATAGCCTCAAATAAATAAATAAACAAACAAAACACTTATGAGCATAAAACAAAATAGAACGAAAACCTGGGAATTAATCTAACAAAAGAGGTGAAAGACCTCTATAATGAAAACTACAGAACACTAAAGAAAGAAATTGAAGAAAACCTCAGAAGATGGAAAGATCTCCCATGCTCCTGAATAAACAGAATTAATATTGTCAAAATGGCCATACTACCAAAAGCATTATACAGATTTAATGCAATTCCTATTAAAATCCCAATGACATTCTTCATAGAAATAGAAAAAGCAATCATGAAATTTATTTGTAAAAATAAGAGACCCAGAATAGCTAAAGCAATCCTTAGTAAGAAAAGTGAAGCAGACCTTACACTGTACTACAGAGCTATAGTAACAAAAACAGCATGGTATTGGCTCCAAAATAGATTTGTAGATCAATGGTACAGAACAGAGGACACAGAGACAAACCCACATAAATACAGTTATCTCTTACTAGACGAGGGTGCCAAAAACATTCACTGGAGAAAAGATAGCCTCTTCTACAAATGGTGCTGGCAAAACTGGAAATCCATATTTAGCAAAATCTCTCACACTGCATAAAAATCAACTCAAAGTGGATCAAAGACTTAGACACTGCACCTAATCAAATTATTACAGACATTATTACTGTATGTATATATGTGACTATATGACCAGTATGATTCTGTAACATGTACACTCAGAAATTATATCCCATCTATGATAAAAAATAAAAAGAAAATAATAAATTCAGTGTACTGAAATTTGCAGCTTCTGCCAATACAGCATTTTGAATCATGCTGTGCTCAGTAAAAATGATATAATAAGTCCATAACCAAAACTCATTCATGAAATATAATGGTCTTCTACTAGCAGAACTGGATTATTATAGCTTTCCAAATGTATTCTAAATAAAAATAATTTAAAAATCAATTCAAATAATTCAGAATAAGTGCTTTATTTTTCAGTCCCACAAAACTGAAACTATCATTTACATAAGTTACAATAGCAATAATAATTAGAAACCAATTTGTAATAACTCTTGAAAACACTTATGAGCATAAAACAAAATAGAACAAAACAAAAAGAAAAAGACTGAATACTCTTTAAATTGATGATAATCTGACTGCTGTGAAATGCCCACTTTGCAGATGTATAAACAGCATGTGCATTCAAAACAGAGGTTTAATTTATTTAAGACAATATTCCAACTAATCCCAATGCAGTTTTCAATTACATGTGCAAATTTATACAGAATCAAAAAATAAATCTCTCCTAATATATAACCAGCTTATTCCACACCAACACAACAACTGTGAAAACCACGAGGTCTGACTAAGGGGGAGAAAAATGAAACCCAGCATCAAAAGTGCATAGACTTCAATGTAACTACAATCTTGCCATTTACTTCCACTTCTATTTAAAAAATTTTTTTTAAAGCTTCCTTTAAACTATACATCTAAAAGAAAAATGTATCTTTCATATACTTTTTCTGAATTTAAAAAACATATACGTAATCTTCCTTTGGTTTTGATAAGTTCAAATATGAATTGGTAGTGGGGCAACTGGATTTTTTAAGAGAGCTCTAGAGAGATGAATACAACATACTATATCTTCTTTAAGAAGTAAGAGCTGAAATGTTAAGCATTCCTTGTATTGCTTTTTAATATATTAAGGAATGCTGTTCTTGTAAACAATGGCTTTAAAGAAATACTGAGACCAAAATGCATTACTAGCAGATGTCTACAAAAGGTCACCAAAACTATCCTGGTTTGTGAAAACAGGGAAAACGTTTTTGGAATTTAGCCTGCTAGAAAAGATGCTACCTTATTTCTTCCTTTCTACTTTTTCGGATTATCACAATTAAACATCAGAAGATTTTTCCCAAATAAATACTGATGTAATGTTGATTTCAAGGACACACAACTTTCATAAGAGTCTACTTCTCAGGCACTTCGCCATTCATTGAGATGGAAGCAGCACGGCTCTGGTGCGAGTCGCTGAACTCCTGTGGAGAATTCCCTCTGGGAGAGTTGGCGGGCACCAGGAGCTGACTGGTGGATGTAGGCGCAGCAGCATTTAGTGGCTTTGGAGAATGAGACGGGGGTCTGTGCCGGTTGCTCTCCTCACCAGAAGTGGACGAGTATCTTTTTCTTCCAAATTCCTCACCAATAGGGGGCTGCAGATCATGAAAGACAACAGAGTTGACAGTTTGACTATTTTTCTTCCTTCAAAATCTACGACCAGACTGTTTCAATGAGGGGGAAAATAATTTTGGTTCTTCAACAGGTTTTGTTAGTTTAATGAAACATTAACATCAACTTAAGATCTTAAACTTGAATTTCCTAATGACAACTAACTACCGCATCTGCTCATTCTTTCACTCCACATACGCTTATGAAACCTCTCTCGTGTTCTGAGGCCCGAGCTACATACTAGGGCGTGTCACGGTTTGGATCTGACTTGTCCCTCAGAAGCTCCTGTGTTAATGTAGGAATGTTTGGAGGTAAAATGGTTGGACTGTGAGTCCATCCCAGTCTGAATGGGCTGACTGGGTAGTCACCGTAGGCTGGAGGTAGGTCACTGGGGTGTGCCCTGGAAGGATGCATCTTACCTGTGGCCCTTTCCCCTTCTCTGCTCCTTGGCCGCCATGAGCTAAGCAGCTTTCCTCCGCCGACCCTTCCACCATGATGTCCTGCCTCACCTTGGGCCAGAACATGTCCTAAACTTATGGAACAGTGAGCCAAAACAAACTTTTTCTCCAACTTGTTCTTGTCAGGTACTTTGGTCCCAGTGACACAAAGCAGACTAACAGAGGGCATAAGCATAAGGCTGGGTTCCCTGCCTCCAAGAAAGTGTCTTCTGTAAGGCCATTTTTCCTCTTTATTCAACTTCTGTCAACTGTGAAGCATTTATGACTCTAGTCCCTTTATCAACACTAAACACCTATCGTAGGCTTGCAATAGTGTTGTAATGTTTAAGTAACAGGTGAATGCAAGCAACTGAGGAAAAATGAGGCCAAGTCAAAGAGCAGGTTTCAAGTTTTGTCTAGAAGTCCTGGATAAGGAAACTGGAAAGCATTAGTGGTGATACCAACTGTAAACATCTCCAAACTCAATACCCAGAAAGCTCCCAAGCCCACTCAGACTGCAAGCAGAAGCAGGTGGAGGGCAACAGGCAGTCAGAGTTTAAAATAAGCCAGCTTTGGACGCCTTCTCAGTTACAGACACTTGGGAGCCACTAGGCTAATATTTTTATTTGGAGGCAAGTTAAAATAGTAATCTCCCATCTTGCTCAGTCACTCTAGAAGAATGACTCTTAATTCCAGGGATATGGGCACCTCCAACCCCATTCCTGAGCCACCATATCCAGTTCCACAAAAGTACGAGACAAATAAATTACAACACCAAGCAGTAACGGGCCAGACTTTCCTTTCCTTTCTTCCTTTTAGGTGTTCAGTTTTTCCTTTTCTTTTTTCTTTTTCTTCCTTTGCTTTTATTTTCTTAAATTTATTCCATTACTTTTCAAAATGCTTTCCATTTGTTCTTGAAATCAAACTGATTTCCTGGCTACACATATACATATAACACTCTTGCATTGATCTTACTATGAAGAAACCCTAAATCTATATCAGCACAGTACAAAAATCATATGGAGAAAAGCACATTAAAAAGTGAAAAGTGGTGGGTGTGGTGGTGCATTCCTGTGATCCCACCTACTCTGGAAGCTGAGGCAGGATCCAAAGCTCAGGGACAACCTGGACAATGCAGCCAGACAGTGAATCAAAATAAAAGGAGAAGGGCTGGAGATGGAGCTCAGTGGTAGAGCACTTGCTTAGCGTGTGGGTTCAATCTCAAGCACCAAAAAAAAAAAAAAAAAAAAAGTGAAAAGTTTTTGCACTGCTAGTGAGAAATTAGTAGCATATCCAGATGAAAGTCACTAAATCTAGAAAATGTTTAAGGACGTGGTATGTTAAAGTGAACTGACGACTGCCCTGTGTCACAGAAGGTGTTCACATTGGGAAATCTGAGTGAAGAGCATATGGTGATTTTTTGAGCTCTTCTCATGCTTGTTTCCAAGTTTGATTTCAAAACTGAACAGTTAAATTTTCAAGATAAAAAATTAAGATACAAAAATCATAAAGTCACTGATAAGAGATAGAAATATATGAGTAATAAAAAGAGGAAAAAACTTACATCAATACGGAAGTCTTCTAACTTCTTAAAACTACAGAGGTATTCCTGAAGTTTTGGGTCAATGGACTGCGTCTTGGACTGAGAATATTTCAGATAGGCCCAAAACTTTTCTAGTCCATATAGCTGACCTAATAATAAAGAAGAATTTATACTATAGATTTTATAGAATTTTGAAAGATGATTCATATGAAATGTGATTCAACCAGCAAGAAACCATTTATCTTACAAAATATACTTTATCAATAGATCTTAAGAATATCAATCGATCTTAAGAATAAGATTCATAATGAATCAACAATATTAGCAGCTAACATTTACTGAGCCTTTGCTATGTAACAGATATTATTTAAGTTATTCGGGATAACTTGTTTGTTTTTACCAGATTCCAGAGGCTTTCTTGGTTTCTTTCTGGAAATCCTTAATGATGAGGATATTAAGGATTAAATCCTTAATCCTATATGTCAAACTTAACTTGAATCACACATAGCCCTGTAAGTGCCCTGTAAGGCAAGTGCGTCTGTTAAGGATGAGAAAACTGAGGCTGGCAGCTTGCCTAGGCTCACGTTGCTGCCAAGCACTGGCACTGGGTCTCGGGTGGAGCCTGGGGCCCAGGCCTGCTCTCTGCCCCACTGTGCCCTGCTGACCTTCTGAGCACGCCTGCTGGCGTTACGTAGGATGTTCACCTCATGGAACATCAGTGAGCAGCCATGTCTATCAAGGGAATATGACAAAGACAGCCCCACGAGGGAGACACTGAGGGTGTCGTTTCCCAGGGCCCTTGGGAAGAACCTGCTTACTGTATGGTACCTGTCATTTATCACGAGCCACATAGTGGCCTGAAGTCCTAGTAGTTTTCCTTAAAGACAAAAGCTACAAGCTCCTCTGTTTTTTGACAGATTTAGACTGATAATTTTCAGACAGAAGATCTGTTTGTTTTTACCAGATTCATAGTCTTTTTTGGTTTCTTCTTGGAAATCCTTAAAAATTTCTTGTCTGAATTTCTTTTCCAGTCCATAACTATAAAACCGGAACAGACATTCTAACCCATACCTATGGAAAGAAAACAAAAGGTTTATAATAAATTTTTTGCTATAAGAATGCAACATATTTTGTGGTCAGTGTGACACATGTGATCCTAAGTGAGACACAGGTCTTTAGTACGCAGACTTTGAACTGAAAGCCAATTAGTGACACTTAGCTGTCTTGCTACTGGTTTCACTGACTCGGCTACAATACACAGTGAGGTGCACTGGGAACCTGCAGAATGAGAAGCGCCCTTGATGGCCAGTGTGGCTTCTCTAGATGGGCACTCTCTCTCTCCTTGGTATTTCTGAAGAATTGCAAAATATTTGGTGACATTAGGAATATTCTAGATTTTCCCAAACTAAGATTTACAATGATGTGTCTGTCCATAGTACTTAATACTCTTGAATATAATCTTCATTCTGAGACCACACTCTTGTGCCCTGGAGCCCACCTGTGATCGACCCATTCAACTATAATGAAACAAATCTAATTAAACGGATCCTCAGAGAGCCTCGCTGCTTTACTTTTAAGTACGAGTGATAGCAGATGTACTAACAAAGGAGCTAAAACCTCTATTTAAGGCAGACAGTGAGTGTCGTGGCTTCTTAGTTCCAGGCAACAGATGGGCAAACTGTGGACTCAGCCTTCAACCAACAGTGATGAGCAGGACCCATGAGTGGACCAGGCCGGGAAGGTGGCAGGACTATGTTTGGCTCAAGATGCCGCAGTTAAAGACTTCTCCGTCCTTCTGAGTGCCTCAGTGGAGCAGAGGTGGCAACGTTGCTGTCACTGGTGACGTAAGCTTGACCGGCTGTTTTCCACAGGCAGCAGCATATGTGAGTGTGTATCTCTTTTGTAACTAGCTTATTTCCAAAATGGACAGTGATGGTCTATCCAAAAGAATAAATAAGTTGAGCAAGCCACCAAAAGAAATGCAGGGCCTCCAGCTGCCACTAAGCCTCTGCTCGGCAGCCTGGCGTGATGTTGCTGAGCTTCTGACGGAAGGTCACAGGAACGAGGATGAAAGGGACACCAGGAGGCAAGGGCTGAGCTGGGACAGAATGACAGGGGGCAGGAAAGCAGAGGGAGGACGGCAAGTAGGGGCAGAGCCCAGCACACCATGGGCAGCTGTCCAGAGGGGTGGAGCCCCGCTCAGTCGAGAGCAGGTGGTCCCAACCACCGCCACAGGACCGGTGGAAGGGAGGGGGACTGGACATGTGTCAGGAGACACCTGCTTTTCTTATCTCCAGAACTGGTGTGGCTCTGAGAGGCTTCCACTAGGGGATATGTGTGCACATGCAAGGGAGGTCAGCTGTGTAGGGTCTGGGGAGAAGGATCTTATGCTCCCATTCAGCCCCGTGTCACCTCTGAGAAGGTTCCTATTGATGCACCTCCTGCATTCGTGACCTTGGGCAGGTTCCCCCTCACTGGGCCAGGGCTGGTCTTTGCAAGCAGTGAGATATGGTGGGAGTGACGGTGTGTGACCTCCTTGTACAAGCTGCACAAGAGCACACACTATCTTGGATCACTTACTCGGGGTGAAGCCATGTTGTAAATCACCCTCTGGGGAGCTGCCTGGCCGGAATGCAGATACAGCACAGCCCCCTGTCAGTAGCCACGTGAAGGAACAGGGTCATCCAGCCCAGTTCCAGTCTCCAGAGAGACCTTGGGCCAGAAATGCCTGGCTAGACAGTTCCTTCAGTCCTGACCCTTAGAAGCTGTGAACTCATAATGCTTGCTGTTTCAAGCTTCCCAGCTTTAGGTAACCTGCCAGGCAACAGCAGGTAATGCATACGGTTCCTGCTCCAATTATGTGGTGCTGCTTTCCTGGTTCAAAATCAGGTGACTTGGGCTGGGGTTGTGGCTCAGCAGTAGAGCACCTGCCTAATACAGGCAAGGCACTGGGTTCAATCCTCAGCACCACATTAAAAATAAATAAATAAAAATAAAGGTATTGTGTCTGCCTACAACTAAAAAATATTTCTAAAAAATCAGGTGGCTTTAGTACTTATTTTTAAGATTACTTTTTAAAACTCTCCAAGTATAGGGGCTGGGGTCATGGCTCAGCGATAGAGCGCTTGCCTTGCAAGTGCAAGGCCCTGGGTTCGAGCCTCAGAACCACATAAAAATAAATAAATAAAATTAAGTTAAAAAAATAGGTTCATGGGCTGGGATTGTGGCTCAGAGGTAGAGCACTCGCCTACCATGCATGAGGCACTAGGTTCGATCCTCAGCACCACATAAAACTAAAATAAAGATATTGTGTCCATCTATAACTAAGAAAGAAATATATTTTTAACAGGTTCATAAGTAAAATGCTAAAAAAAAAAAACACTCCAAGTATAAACATATTAGAAAATATCTGACCTGTAATTCTCTTTTGCATCTTCCCAAGCAAGTTGTCTGAATTCCTCATACATCTTTTTATTGAAGTGATCTCTAAGGAAGAAGGACCAGAAACGAAAGAGGGTGTTCATTTCTTGGGACTGTCCGATTCCCAGGCATTTCCTCTCTGGAAAAAGTCAGAATATTAAAACATTTTAAAATCAAATGTACTTTAAAAAGTTGATAGAGTAGATATTTTTCATGGCACTGGCCAAATCATAAACAGCTGTCCATAGTAACAACAAGAATACACTAAATTTCATTTCATAATGTGCCTAAGCTACGAAATACATAAATAAAGAACATATATAAACAAATTTACTTAACGGTGATTATTTACTTATAAGTAAAACAAAATTAAAGAATCTTAACCAGGGCTGGGGTTGTGGCTCAGTGGTAGAGCCCTCGCCTCACACGTGCGAGACCCTGGGTTTGATCCTCAGCACCACATAAAAATAAATAAGTGAAATAAAGGTATTGTGTCCAACTACAGATAAAAAAATAAATATTTTAAAAAAGAATCTTAACCAGATATTAAATGACACGATGTAAATTTTGCAGAGTTCTATCTTTAGCTATAACACTGGAGGATAAAGGACAAGCGTCTTACCACTCAGACATCTTCGACGATACTTGTGATACACTTGCTGGGTGAAGCCGTTTTCCTTCAGGAGCTCGTGAGAAGGGTGCTGGAACTTAGGGAAGGAATGCGGAGCACATCCACAGCTTCCCACCAGCGGCACCCCTCCTGAGGGCGGAGTGTTGGCACTGCTGTTTGAGGAGGGGGAGAAAGCCTTCAAACTGAAATATCCAGAACCAGTGTGTCAACCCATTTGTCCTGAGCAGTGCAAAAGCAAGCAGCCCCCCCCCCCCCCCCCCCCCCCCCCCCCCCCCCCCCCCCCCGAGCTAAGCTGGTGGCAACAGATCTACACACGCAGGAGTGCTCAGGCTGCGCTGGCAGGCCAAGGGGGAAGTGGAGAAGGACAGGTGAGGATGTCTCACACTGAGACAATCAGGAGAAGCAGACCACTGAGCCTCATTACTCCTCCAGATCCCTGACGAATGCAGTTCAGATTCAGTGTTTGAATTATCGTTAAAGAACTGGAGAAATTTCCAATTTAACTTGAGTAATTAATGATATAAATGGATCTATGGAAATGAGGGACAAAATCTGGCATAAAACCAAGGTAATAATCTCATTATCTCAAAGACACAACCTGCAACTCTCTACATCAGTTCCACCTCTGAAGTACTCCTAAGTCTGTCCTTTCCTTCTCTATTTAAATTAGGCCTTTCTCTTCTGTCGCTTGAATTAACTGCTCTCCTTGTTTTTCCAGGCTCCCTCCTCTAACGTGCCACCAAAGTTATCTTTGTAAGACATGGAGCTCCCTCAGTGGTTCTCTTGGAGGGTTCCCAGGAACCTTGGGGAAGTCTGCAAGATCAAAGCTGTCTTCACCGGGACACTAAGACACCGTCTGCTCTTTCTACCTGTTGAAATTTGTCCTAGCGGTTTGTAAAACTGCTCATGTGACGGAGGCAGGGGCACTTGCAATGAAACAAAAATTAATGCTACCTTCAATTTAAGGAATCCTTGAAGCAGAAAAAGTAGGTTTATGAAATCTACACCCTTGAGTACATATCTTTACGTATGTGGCAAAAATGGGGTAGAAGCTGCAGTTTTGCAAGATGAAACGTTCTGGAGCTCTGTTTTAGAACACAAAGGTGCTGACTGCACACTTAAAAATGGGTAAGAGGGTAAGTGTCATTATTTTCTTAACCACAATTTCATAAATCAGGAGAGAAACACAAAGCACTTTTGTGGCTCACTGAAGCACAGTGGTGGCCTCAAGGTGCCATTCAGGGGTGAGGGAACGTGCTGTTTCGGTCACTGGAGTGACGCTTTAAATTAGGAAAACAACCAACGATGTGGTCATTCAGATTTCATTACGTGTCAGATGTTTCCTCAAAAATGAACAAAAGGGGTCTTTAAAGACAATGAAAACGACAGAACACCTGTTTCCAATAGCAAAACGGAGACATTAAGCAAAAATGAGATCTTGAAAATTTTCTATTTGTGTAATTTATGAGCCTAATACCTAAAGACTTTTCCCATCAACACCTTAAGACTTGACTTCTTTTATTTTTTGGTAACTGTTAATTGAAGCCAGTGGTGCTTTACCACTGAGTACCCTCACCCCCCGCAACTTTTTAAATGTGAGACAGTATCTCTCTGAATCTCAAAGACTTTTCTAATAAAAGCAGTGGTGAAATTTTTTTAAGAGAGAGAGAGAGAGAGTGTGTGTGTGTATGAACACACCCAGCATAGTAGTTACTGTTTTAAACACTGTTCACAAGTACATAATTCATCAACATTAAATACATTGCCAGTGTCATCACCCTTCACCTTCCCCAACAAAAACTGTTACCTATTGAACAATAACACGCCCCTCCCGCTCCCGAGCCCCTGGTGAACCTGACTGTTCTAGGCACTTCGTGTCAGCGGGATCATACTTCGAATCATCTGTGTCTGGCCCTCTGCAGATGAACTAGGCATGCACCCAGACTTCACGCCCTTCCATTTCACTGGAAGTGTACGTCCCCTGATGTTCGTTCAGTCATCTGCCCGTGTTCACCTGGGCTGCCCATCTTTTGGCTGTGGGTGATGCTGTTGTAAACAGTAACAAACCAATATTCTTCAGGTCCCTGTTTTACTTCAGAATTCAGAGCCAGGAGTAGAAGGCCTAGGTCCTACAGTAATTCTGTGTCTTCATGGTTTTGAGAAAATGCTGGTGGCTGCAGCACTTCATACCCCAGCAAGGCAGCACCGTGCCCAGTTCCCCACACCTCACACTTACTCCTTTTTAAAGATTATACACCTGTATTAGTCAGCTCTGGCTGCTCCATCAAGCAGCACAGACTGGGTGCTAATGCAACAGAACTCATTTCCTTACAGTCTCAGAGGCTGAAGTCCAAGATGGAGACGCCAGTAGGCTGGCTGGCGAAGACAGTCCCTGTCCACAGAAAGCCGCCTTCTTGTGTGTGCCTGCACGGCCTCTCCTCTGGGTGGGCCTGCAGGGTCTCTGTCCCTGCCTCTTCAGTAAGAATGGCTGGAGCAGGCCTCCTCCCTTCAGAAGGGCCCCGTCTCCAAGGACTGTCACATCAGGGGCCAGGGTTTCAACGCAGTTCAGTTCATAACGCTGTCCCAGGAGGTGCACAGTGGTATCTCATGGGATTTTTCTAATTTGTGCTTCTCTAATGATTAATTAGATTAATTATAATGATGTGTTAAGCATCTTTTCCTAGGCTTAATGACTACTTGTATATCTTCTCTGGAGAAATATCTACTGAAGAATTTTGCACATTTAAAAATAAAATTGCTTTGTTGAGTTTTCAAAATTTTTTATATATTCTGGACTTGAATCCCTTAACAGATGTCTGATCTACCATATCTTCCCATTGGGCTGTCTTTTCTGTTGGTAGTATCCTTTGATGCACGAGTGTTCACAATTTTGATAAAGTCCATTTATTTTTCTCTTTTGTTGCCTGTGCTTTTGGTGTCATACCCACGAAACTGAAGACAAATTCAATCTCATGAAGATTTTCGCCTACGTTTCCTTCTAAGAGTTTTGAAGTTTTAGCTCTCAAGTTCAGGCTTTGAGTCCTGAACTTGAGAGTTAATTTTTTTTTTGTATATGGAATAAAGCAAGAATCTATCTTCATTCTTTTGCATGTGGTTACCGAGTTTTCCCAGCACTATGATTTGAGAAGACTGTTCTCCTATTGAATAGTTTTGGCTTCTTGGTCAAAAATAAATTGACCATATCTGAGGGTGCCAACACTATGCAATAGGTGGTAGCTAGGAATCAACAGTTACTTTATATTAATTATTAACAAGAAAATACACATGATAAAAACACAAATCTTAAGAAATCTCAGAACTCAACATTCTAACTAAATGTTAATGAGGGAATATTTTCCACCATTATCTGTTGATCTCAAAATACCCTGCTGCAGTAGACAAATCAAGAGTTCAAACACAACTCGAAAACACTAGTAGCATTCCACTGATGGGCGGAAGAACAACACACTTTTTCTTTGAGGGGAGATGTGTTTGATGAGGATACAGAGAGACAGAGGTGAGGTGCTGTGGCCGCTTTGTGTCTCCTCACCTCTTCCCCTCTCCAGCACACAACCGGCCCGCTCCAGGGGCGCCCCAGAATCTGTTGTGAGGTACATAACCATCCTAAAAAATTTAACACTAACAAGAAAAAATACTTCCAGCTAGTAGTCAGATAAGTTGTTTCCTGAGAAAAGGGGAAAAAGTCAAAATAATAATTGCCAGGTATGGTGGTACACACCTGAAATGCCAATAACCCGGGAGGCTGAGGCAGGAGGATAGCAAGTTCAAAGCCAGCCTGAGCAACCTAGTAAGACCTAGTTTCGGAAAAAAAAAAAAAAAATTTAAAAAGGGCTGGGAATCTAGCTTAATGGTAAAGCATCCTGGGTTCAATGCCGAGTACCATCATCATTTCAATAACCATGATTGTAATTAGTATCATTGTTTTTGGTCTCCATGTTCTTTTTAGTTTGAGTAGATGGCTTAGCACATCAGTTCTGTCAATGAGTATCTACTAAGAACCTACCGAATGCCATTAAGAATCTGGGATCTTTCCAAAAATAACTTTTGTAGACCTCCATAGTTTATAAATCTGAGCATTTGCATTTGTGAAAAGTAACTGAAATGGAAACCAGCTGGGCCCACTCACTCATGTCCTTGATTTCTTTTTACTGCTTATATTGTTCTATATTTTCCTGACGTTTATTTATAGGTATTTCTGAATTCCATTAGTGACCATTTTCAATGGACCTTCAGATCAAGGTGGTACCTGACAGCGGGTGCTCGTGGCCCGTGGTCTCTGGAGTCCATGACCCAGCCAACATGACACTCTAGAGGGGGGTCTGTGCTGTGCCTCGTCTTTCTCTTCCTGGGACTCTGAAGAAAACAAAGTCAGACATTGCAATCACTGTCAGTAGTGTGAACTTCACAAATAAATTAAACCCTCTGCTGTAAGCCAGCTCAGAAATTTTCATACTGTGGATGACACATTGTGAAATCACATGAAGTCACAAAACTCCAACATCTCCCATACAAGTTGCAAAATTTAACAAGACCCTTTGCTACGTTTGTAACACAAGGGTTGCAGGAAACAGAACTTGATTCTTCATTACACCCTCTGATCACCTTTGAGGACTCCACCCAATTGTAAAGAAGCTCATTTTTTAACCCAAGAAAATGTCGTGATGGTAAGTACCATTTTTAAATGAATTCTTACAATTTAAAAATATACATTTAAAAAATGTGATAGGAACTTGGTAATGTTCAGGGGTACGCCATGCAGGCGCGTGTTCCTGGCTGTTTCATTACCTGTAGATCAATGGCTTTTGGTTCTTTAACAACAGGATAAAATCTGGGTGTTTTGTCAGGATCGTGCAGCCTGGGTGTTCGGGGGGTCTTGGGTGTCCTTGCAGGATTATCCCTTGGAGATTCTGGAACCGCCGCGGGCAACGAACAGACCACTGTTGCTATAGTTTTTTCTGAAACATCAAACAACTTCTGAGCTAATTAATCAGTCAAATCTGCAAAATAAGTAGCTCTTAAAAGTATTTAGATGCTAGGAAGATATTTTACTTTGAGGATAACTCTTCAAATTCTTTTCATCAGAACGATTTAAATATATCAAAGAATTACTTAAAAAAAACCCCAGTGTTCATCTTTCTAAAGAAACACTGAGGCTCTCTGTTATACTTCCTAATCCACCTCTCTCCTGCTTTTCCTCCTCAGAGATATCCATGCTCTTAAATTTGGTATTTCAATCTATGACTACGTAGGTAATAATGTTATTTTGCATAATCAACTTCACGTAAGTGACATTATATACTATATCCATCATTTTCTAAGCTTTTTCATGTTACATTCATGTAGATCTGAGTTTTCATTTCCACTGCTAATATTATTTTACAAATATATCAGAATGTGTCCATTCTCCTACAGACATTTATGTTATTTCCCGTTTTGGGTTTAGCCCACTACACTGTGGCCAACCTGGTGAAGCACATCCTCTGTGCGGGTGTGTGCCTTTTTTTACGGCTAATTTGGAGTGGATACAGCATCTCCGGGCTTTCTGATTACTCACTGCAGACAGCAGGCTGCTGAGGTTTCACAGACTTACACTCTCACAGCAGCCGGGGACACTCCAGGATTCACATCCTGGTCAACACTGGGTTTTGTTCAGACACTTATTAAGTATTTTCTCAACTCATGGATTCAAATGGCGTTTGTCCCCAGTGCAGGTGGACACGCTTTCCTCTGCCTGCTTACCACTCACACTGCCACTCTTGTGAGCCTGCCCTGCGAGTCCTTTGGCAATTTTCCTAGGGCGTTTTTGTGTGTGCAGTACCGAAGACTGAACCCAGGGCCTTGTGAAATTGCTCTATCGCTGAGCTATAGCCCCAGCCCTTTTTAAAATTTTTAATTTTGAGACAGGATGTAAGTTTCTGAGGCTGGCCTAGAACCTTCGATCCTCCTGCCTCAGCCTCCCCAGTAACTGGGATTGCAGGTGTGCACCACCTCTCCTGGCTTTGGGTTGTTTTACTTACTGATTTGTTCATGAAAATCTTAGGTAAGATACTAAGAAAGTCTGAGGAGGGATCAAGTGGTGGTGACAAAAATCCAGGCTCTGTTTCTTATGTAGTTTTTCTTCACACGAACTAACTTCTTTTGATTTATATAGCAACCTTTTGTTCTTTCATTCAACAAGATAATATTAAATGCCTACTGTCTGCCAAGCACTATTCTAGGCACAAGTTTATAAAGCCCAAAGTGAACTTACCCACTTGCCAACTCTTCTCTCAATATTGTCCTCACTGTTACCAGAACGATTATTCTGAGAACAAATTTGGGCACATTTCTATTGAACTCCTTCACTGTTTCCCCTTTGCCTCTAGAAGCTTAGATGCTTATCCTCCTTGACTTGCCTCCTCTGTCCTTCTCCACCACAACCCGGATGACCCAAGTAGCGCCCAGTGATCTGGTCCTGGCTCCTTGCTCTGCGTATTTTCTAAGCTTCTCCCTGTTCTGAAGGTTCTGTATGCTCAGCTGGACACATACCCTTCCTCCGACACCCAGCACAGGTGTGAGACACTCCCTGAACATTTCTTGTCAATAGAATTAATTCTTTTTGAGCCATCTCTGCATCCTGCTATAGTTTGGATCTAGAATGTCCCCAAAGGCCCATGTGTTGAAAGGCTTGGAATATAGCTCAGTCGGTAGAGTGCTTGCTTCACATTCACAAGGCCCTGGGTTCGATCCCCAGCACCACACACACACACACACACACACACACACACACACACACAAAGGCTTGGTCCTCAGCTTGGAGCTACCGGAAGTGAAGAAACCCCTCAGGACTAGGGCCTCATGGAAGGTCAGATAATATAGGGTGTGCACCCAGAGGGGATATCAGGGCCTGCCTCCATCTCTCTGTGATCGCTTCCCAGCACATGAGATGAACAGGGTTCCTGCCACAGGTTCCCATCATGATGCGCTGTGCTGCTACAGGACAAAAGGCAATGGCTATGTCACCATGAACTGAAACCCTTGAAACCCGTAAGACAAAAACACTTTCCTCCTTATAAGTTGATTATCTTAGTATTTTGTTGTTATAGTAACAAAAAGCTGACTAACACAGTTTCATGAATTAAGTTAAAATTCATCCCCTAGACCCCTAGAGCAAGTCTCCCTGCTCCCTAAAAGCACAGCCACAATCTTATTGAACATCCGAGGAGTATCTCCTCCCCAAAGGAAGGCTAATCTCAACTGAATTGTTCTCACAACATTTCCTTATACCCAAACAATATAAAACCTTAAAATTATGAGCATATACTGAAAAAAATGTTAAATCTAGTACTTTTATAAAAGAAATATACAAAGATATAGAAACAGCAACTACCTGGAAAGACTGAGCTTCCTAGCACCAGATTATGGTATCTAAATTCCATTTTCCACTATCAGGTCTCCTCAAAAAAATAAAGTCTGGAGCAGAAAATTCATAATATGAGCCCAGAAAATCTTGACCCACAAAGTAATTAAGTTTTGTTTTGTTTTATTAAAACACTCATACAGGGGCACTTGCAAGACCTGGGTTCGATCCTCAGCATCACATAAAAATAAGTAAGTGAAATAAAGGTATTGTGTCCAACTACAATTAAAAAATAAATATTTTTTTTTAAAAAAAATACTATTACAGGTCATAAACAGACTTTAGGGTTCCTACCAGTTAAAACAAAGTTATGTGGCCACCGTAAACAGTGACTGAAATGAATTAAAACCATCAGATAAATAAGCTCCGTGAGTTCATAACGACAGTTTAAAACTCAATTACATTTGCAGGTTGCTAGTACATCAGCTTCTTATTCTGAAAATCGATCAACTGAATTTGTAAGAGAAGGATTTGCCCTTCCTTTTGCATAAAAGTTGAATGGCAGGGTAAACCAAGAGTTGATAAAGATCTTGAAAGAAGAATTCTCAGTAAGAAGCGTCAAAGGGTCGACAGAACCAGAAGGTGACTGTTGTGCAGCTCGGCTGAGACAGAGGCTGCGGGAGCTCACGACGGCTACTGTTTGGTTAAAAGCCAAAGAGGAGTTCCCTTCCGTCATCATCGACATGCAGCAGACGATGAAGGGTTTCCAGAAGGGACCTGATCTGGAGAAGTGATATCCGGAAACAGATGGGCAGGCAAAGGTGTAAAAAGAATGCAGACGGCTGGCACCAGCTGACCGCGGGTGAGAGGGGCACGCGGAGTTCACCAACAAGTCTCTCCACTTTTACCTGAACCTGGACGTTTCCACTGACAAAAGTTAAGTTTCATCTCAGTATTACATTTGTTTTATTCGAGGTTTGTTTGGAATGACACTTACCCACTAATAAAGATAGATGTGTCAATTTTATGAAGACTGAAATCTACAAAGTGCTTTAATTATCTAAAAATAAACGTTTTACAAAATTTTTACAGCATACTATTTATCGATTCATAATATTTGACATAATCATTAAAAATAGTTCACTGTAAGCACAAAATATTTACGGCAGATATTGACATTTCATTAGAAATGTAGACATACAGTTAGGGAATATTAACATATCAACATTTTTATCAACTACAAGTTGGGGCTGACGTGTGAACCTTATTTAGATGTTATAACTCCTTTTAATCAAAATCCTTGGTGGGCTGGGGTTGTGGCTCGCCTAGCATGCATGAGGCACTGGGTTCGAACCTCAGCACCACATTAAATAAATAAATAAATAAATAAATAAAGATACTGTGTGTCCTCTTAAAACTAAAAAACAAAAAAACTTAGGCCATCTCTTATACATGTATTGTCACAGTAGCATTTTTTCATAATAGGCAATGCTGTAAACAATCCAAACATCTATCAATTATTGATTGGGATTGACTACTGGGATTTTTTTGTGGGGGTGGGGATTGAACCCAGGGGCACTCTACCACTGAGCTACATCCCTAGACCTTTTTTATTTTTTGAGACAGGGTCTCACTAAGTTGCTGAGGCTGCCTTGAACTTGTGGTCCTCCTGCTTCAACCTCCCAAGTTGCTGGGACTATAGGCCTGGCCATGGCACCTGGCTAGCAATAAAAGGGAGCAATATACTGATACCTGCAATGACATATATGAGCCTCTATGAACCTCAAACATACAACAAGTCAGACACTTTACTATGAATCATGACTCCATTTATATAACATTTCAGGGAAATGCAAAACTACAGAGAAAGAGAGCAGGTGACACTGCCTATGGCTGACGGTAAGTGTGGGACTGATGGCAAAGGAACAGGAGGGACCTTTTAACAGGGGTTTGTCCTAAAACCGGCCCGTGGGGCTGATGCACAGCCATACAGATTTAACAGAACTCATCCACTGGTACACTTCAGGAGGTTTCATTCCTACAGTGTGTAAACTGCACTTCAGAAACGCCGCAGCTGGTGCAGTGGTGCTCGCCTGTGATCCCACAGACTTGGGAGGGTTGCGAGTTCAAGGCCAGTTGGGGCAACAAAAATAAAAGGGCTGAGGATGCAGTTCTGTGGTACAGCACCCCAAAAAGCTATGAAAAATCAAAAATGAAGCAGACCCTCTGCTCTTCAGGGCACCTCAGTTGTGACTGTTGACCCCACAGTTTTTGCTAAAAGCTTGTAAGAGGACAGTGACACTACAGAAACTTGGCTGAAGCAGTGATTTGAAGTGTGGTCCCTACAGCACCCCCGGCATGTCCTCAGACCCCACCTCATGTGCTGGATCCGAATCTCGGTACAGAGCCTTTAACCTGTTTCAGCAGGTAAATTTAAGAACCACTGGATCACGGTGTATGATTTTGGACTGCAGAGTATGATCTTGGAGTAAGGAGTATGACTTTTTACTACTTAAATTTTCCAAATTTCATCACTACTAAATCAAATCCTCACACAGTTTCATAACTCGGCTATGGTAGGCTTGTGTCACCCCCTGTATTAGAGACAGCATTGCCTGCCTCCCTCTCCTTTACTGGGAACTGAACCCAGGGGCACTTTACCATTGAGCGGCATCCCCACTCCTTTTTTTTTTTTAAATTTGAGACAGGATTTTGCTGAGTTGCTGAGGCTGGCCTTGAACTTGTGATCCTCCTGCCTCAGACTCCTGAGTAGCTTGGATGACAGGGGTGTACCACCACTCGGGCAGGAACAGTCTTGATGAAAACACAACTTAACACGATGCTGTCAGTGTCCACAGGGGGCTAATAGAAAATGCCACGTAAGGACTGGCACTTCAAGTTCTTTCTCAATAAAAACACTGCTAAAGCAGAGTTTAGCAAACTTTTTCTCCAATGCCAGACAGTAACTATTTGGGGACTTTGGGTCACGGAGTGTCTGTTGAAACAACTGCCTTTTCAGCAAGAAAAGTTTCAGCCACAGGCAAATGTAGGGCATGGCCTCTGTGGCCACTGCAGGCCAGTCTGGGCCCAGGGATGACAACAGGCTGACCACTGAACTAGAGCAGTCGGGCACTTTGGATCCAAATATTGGATTTGAACTTTGCTTGTAAAATAAGTTTTTACTGTACTTCACGTACTCAGGAAAGCAGAGGAAGCAGAAACATTGAAAAGAGATAAAGACGGGCTGGAGGGTAGGTAGAGCATTTGCCTAGCATGTGTGAGGCACTGGGACCAATCCTCAGCACCACATAAAAAACAAACAAATAAATAAAATAAAGATACTGTGTCTGTCTACAACTAAAATATATATTTGTTTCAAAAAAGAGAAAAAAGACAATATAGAGGGACTCCGGTCAAACCTCTACAGAAGTAAAGGCAGGGCTGGGGCTGGGGCTCAGTGGTAGAGCACTTGCCTAGCACGTGTGAGGCACCGGGTTCCATTCTTAGCACCACATAAAAATAAAGGCATCAGGCTGGGGATGTGGCTCAAGCGGTAGCGCGCTCGCCTGGCATGCGTGCGGCCCAGGTTCGATCCTCAGCACCACATACAGACAAAGATGTTGTGTCCGCCGAAAAGTGAAAAATAAATATTAAAATTCTCTCTATCGCTCGCTCTCTTTAAAAAAAAAAATAAAGGCATCATGTCCATCTACAACTGAAGAAGAAGAAGAAAAAACAACCACAGCTAGGATAATATCCACACTTATTAAAAATAAGTCAGACACTGAAGAAGAAGAAAACACAGAAAAGGGATTAAAAAGGGAAAAAAACCCAAGCATTAGTGAGATCGGAAACTACTCCAAACTGCCTGACTTATGTGTGACTCAAATCTTTAAAGAAAGAGAGGAAAGAGCAGAAGAGAATTCCCGATTCTATAATTTAAAAGAATGGCTGAAAATATTCCAGATTCGATACCCAAAACTCAATGAGCCAAAGCATAAGCACATGAAGAGAACACATCAAGGCAATCATCATTAAATTTCTTCAAGTGAATGATTAAAAACAGAATCAACAGAAATTTTCAAATCTCTATAGCAGAGAAGGAAATAATCAAAAAGACCTGGCTAAGGCTCAGGAAGCCGTGGGACACCACGGTCCAGGGGAGGAAAACAATGCAGGCCTGGAAGTTAAATGTCTTCAAAAATCATTGAGAATAAGGAGTAGCTGAAAATTGCCTGTTCAAGAAATCGAGAGGACTCTATCCTGGATAAACCCTAGGAATCCCTACGCTGACCTGTTACGCTGGAACTGCTGAACACTTGGGACAGAAATATCTTGAGAGAAGCTGGACAGAAAAAATGCTACCTGAGAGGGGACAATCTGAGTGACTGGATGTCTCCATCCAAACCCACGGGGGGGGGGGGGGGGGCGCTGCGGGTGCGCCATGGTCCAGCGCTTGTCCAGCGTGGGTAGCCTGGGGCTCCTCCCCAGCTCTGCAAAACCCGAAACACAAGCGTGGAGGCCAGAAGTGGCCAAGGTTTGTGTTTTTGTTTTTTTTCCCATGGTGCTGGGAGGTGAACACAGGGCCTTGTGCGTGCGAGGCAAGCACTCTACCAGCTGAGCTTCGTCCCCAGCCCCAGTGGCCAGGTTTTAAAGTGCTGGAGGAGAAGATCTGCTGACCCAGAATGTGAGAAGAGTGAGGGTGAGACACCATGGCACGGGAAGAGATCACAGCCCACTGAACTGCTCCAGAGGATCACTCCAGCAGGAGAGGGAGGAGCCCAGAAGGAGCCCGGAACTCACCCACGGAGGAAGAGCAAGAGAGATGGCCAAGTCCAGATAAAGAGAAGAGATATTCTCCTTTTAAGTTCTTAAAAACATGCTTCATGGCTAAAAGTGAAAGATGTCCCATCATCAGATAGGTTTTCAACGTATGAAATATGATACATCACATAAGGAAGCCCAGGGGGTGAAAGTTTCTACTGTCTCGTTGAAATAGGAAAATACTGATTATTCATAAACTATAAAAAGTTGACATAGTTTGCAACCCTTAGACATCCACCAAAAATATTACATGAAGAGATGTATATGTCCAAATTCATACTAGATATGTTAAAATGGAATGAAAACGTCACAGCTAACCCAAAGGCAGCAAAGGGAAAAAAAGAAAGAAAACACACAATGAAAAGGTAGAACTAAATCCAAATCTATCACGATTACATTAGATCCTCTGAACACCAGTTAAACGCAGACTGTCAGACTGAATAAGAAGAGGACCCAACCATGGGGCTGGGGTTTGGCTCAGCGGTAGAGCGCTCGCCTATCACATGTGACGCCCTGGGTTCGATCCTCAGCACCATATATAGATAAATAAAATTTTAAAAAGTTATTGTGTCCCCTTACAACTAAGGAAAACAAAAAACAAAAACGGATAGGACCCAACCATATGCTGTCTATAACAAACTCACTTAAAATAGAAGGATGCGGCTGGGTGAGGGGAGGCTAGAGAAATCCATCATATTGCCATGCAGAGAAAGCAGGGATGGTTACGTTAAGGCAGGAGGACTGCAAATTTGAGGCCAGCTTCAAAAACTTAGCAAGGACCTAAACGATTTAGCAAGACCCTATCTCAAAATAAAAAATTTTAAAAAGGGCTGGGAATGTGGCTCAGTGCTTAAGAAATGCAGCTAGATTAGTGCTTCAAAGGAAATATGTAGGATTAAATGCTTTTATGGGAAAAGCCTGAAGTTGGTAATTCAGACTCCTGTCTTTAACAGGTATCAGGAAAACACCCAAATTAAGAAATAAAACAAAAGCACTTCTCAATAACTGATGGGTCAAAAAATATTTAATAAAATATATTTGTAATTGAATGAAAATGGAAGCACTTTCAAAATCATGAGCTATACCTAAGCGAGAGTTCTGGAAGGAAACTCGCAGGACTAACTGCTTAAAACAGAAAGGAACAGCATCAAGTGAAGGATCTAAGTTTCAGGAAGGATAACTAGAAAGTGAGGAGTAAGATAGGCCCAAACCAGGATGGAGGGAATAATAAAGAGAAGAAATTAATAAAACAGGAGAAAAAAAATCAATCAATGAAAATAGAGAACTTTTTAAAAAAGATCAAATTGATAAAAAGTAGAGACACTAAAAGAGAAGCAAAGAGCCTGTTGGTGAGGTGGGCAGGAGGCATGCCGGACTGCCCTCCAGCACAGCCAGACAATGAAGGAAACAGAGTCCTAGCTGCTCAGGGGCTGGGGCAGGAGGGTCGCTCAGGCCCAGGAGTCTGAACCCCCATCTCTAAATAAGCAAACAGCATCAACATGTCACATGCTTGCAAGACTTCTGAGTCTCAATCTAATCAAGCCTCTATTTCAAACCAGCAGCTATAGAAATTCAGGACCAGAAAGAGGTTAAATGAAACTACAGAAATGCAATCAGCAAATTCCAGAATGTGAGGGAGGTCACAGCACAATCTAGTTTCTTCAGCAATATCCTGCAAGGAACAGTAGATTGTAAGGAGGAAAATACCACGACACGGCAGAGTAGGGGCCTTGTCAGGATTACAGGGCTTGGACCTCATATGCACACTGATGAAGAAAATCCAAAAAATGGACAAAAGAGGAACTGCTATCAATTTTAGATGTGGTAATGGTACTCTGTCATTCATGTGTTAAAGGAGAGAAGACACAGAGAAACACTCAGGGATAACAACGTGAACAACATGATCTAGAGTGTGCTTCAAAACGTCCAGAGGGAGGCAGAGGGGTGCCTGGAGAGAGAGAAAACAAAACTGGGAAGGAGATGGTCAGGTGTTAAAGGTGAGCAGTGGGCACAAGAGGTATCATGACATCATCCACTCTATCTTGGTAAATTTTTGAAATGTTTTAAAGTTGTAAAGAAAGGCTATAAAAAAAGATCAATTGCACTTGCCTGGAAATGTCAGATTTAATTTACGAATCTCCCAAGGCTATTTACATTTCCCACAAAGCCAAAGCCTTAAAACAAAAGGATCAGCATTTCAATGAAAACCTTTGAGAACAGAAACATTTCCAACAATCTCCTCAGATACATTGAGAACCAACCAGTTCTGCCTTCTCCTCCTTAAGGGTCTGGCTATGAGCATCCTCTGGTATTGTAACGATGGCTCCTAGGTCACTTCTGTGACTGCCTGTCTGTTCAGGCAGAGTACAGTGGGGTTCAAACCCTTCCGTGTTTACAACTAAGCTGTCTTCCCAAATTCACAGTCTGTTGTCATACGTCTCTAAAAGGTTTAGAAGTTCATCTAATGAAACATCAAAATTGAGTACTAAAATTCTAGAATTTTCTCAAATATCTAATATTTTTCTGCAAATAAAGAAAAAAGGAGGAATCTTTTAAAACAATTCATAGCTGCTTTAATAGTATTCAGACACAAATGCAGGTGTACATACCTTGCCTGGACTGTGAAGGCGCTACAGGAACTTCTTGGTTTGGCTCAAAAGGAAGCTCGGGTGTTAGGTTTTCAAACTGCTCTTTACTAATGAGATTTAGCTTCTTAAAGTTCTCAACTTCTGGCTGAAGTAGAATGGAGGAAGCTAATTACTAAACTGGCTAACAGATTTGCCAACACACAATAATTGATAACAACCTCAAAAAAATGAGCCTTTAAAACAAGGATTAATTACAGTAGAATAAAAAAAATGTTATAATAAAGAATCTAGCATCATATTTAATAACGATTGATATTCAAAGTCTAAAAGAGTATGCATAGAGAACCCTAAAATATTACAAGTGTTTTATAATTAAAAACATTATAAGAGCATACATACTCATGATTAGTTATTTGTTGAGCATTTACCCACAAGACCCCAGGTATTACGGAGGTGACAAAGTAATCTATGACCCTACCCAATTTTTAAGCTGGACAAAAAGAAATATACACATTAAAAACGAATACTGTTAGGTAACATGTGACAAGTGACATTTGGTATAAGGATTGAGATCATCAGGGAGGTACCCTTGCAGGGTGAGAATGCAGAGAAAGGAAGAGTGTTTGGGGTTAGGAAATGTGAGCGAAGGTGAGAAGCTTAGGAAAAGCAACGTGGTTGTGAGAAAACAATAGAATGAGAAGAGCCATGCGGAGCAGGGGCATTTAAAAGGCCCCAGGAAGCTGCAGGAAGCCCAGGAGGCCTTCCAGCTCATCCAGAAGCTCTGCTTCCTTTTCTATCCTGGACTGCCTTGACGGAAGACCAGTCAGGGCGGCGAGGCTCACCTCCAAACCTCTCCCCGGAGCTTAGCAGCGAGGAAGCTCTGCAGGTTGAGCTGTTAGCTCAAAGGAGGTACAGGCCCACTGTCTCTGGGGCTCCATAAATCTGTTACACAGTCACTGAGGTGGTCCCTGCCCTGATTGTTATGGAGGTGGGGACCATGTTGCCCCGGAGGTAATCTGGCCACAAGCACAAAGACCATCTAAGCCAATCCTCTGCCTGGGAGAAAAAGGAGTTCTCCCACTTCTTCTTGGTTACCCCTGCGTTACATCTGTACCATGCAGTGCTAATAATGGATGAATGACCCTTTATGGGGTAACACGGGGGGCGGGGGCTTGAAGCAGGTAAAAAACAACAGTATCTGCCAGATGGATGCAATTTAAATTTCATCATTACAAAACTGTCCCAGAAGCCTGCCCTACATAGCTAGCCATGGTTTTACTGCTTCAGACAAGAACAGTCACTTGTCGGCTCACACCAGGTGTAGGACACGCTGGCCTTTCAGACAGGACCCATCTTCTTTGCAATAAAGTGGTTCCATTTCCATATTACTGCAGTTTCTGCCTCTGTACCAAAAATTTCTGTCTCCCAAAGTCTTCAATAGGGGCTGTGAGTGGAGCTCGGCGGCAGAGAGTTGTCTCACATGTGTGATGCTCTGGGTTCAATCCCCAACAAAACACACACATACGCGCGCGCACACACACAGTCTTCAATAAGCTCTTCAAGCTAAACCCTTCATTAACCACTCTTCCCTGTCCCTTATTTTGGTACACAGTTTGTTATTAGAACCCCCTATTCAGTGAACAATTACTGTATGTTTACCACATACCAGGGATGGGACCACAGTGTACGCTTTTAATTTTTTAAACTATTAAAATATTACACCCACCCACACACATACATGCACACACACACTGAGAAGTGCACAAGTCCTAAGTATGCACCTCAGTGAGTAATCAAAAGTGAACACAGGGCTGGAGGTGTAGCTCAGAGGCAGACAGTGCCCAGTATATACAAGGCCCTGGCTCCAATAAACACATACATACATACGTATAAACGTAGAGAAAGAAAGAAAGAAAAGGTGTAAGCACCAACCAGGCAGAGAGTACTAGCAACCTAAAAGCTCCTTCCCACCATCCCTGCTCCTCCATCTTCCAAGGACAACCACTGTGCTGACTCTGGTACCAAGGCTGACATGGCCTGCTTTTGAACTTTATGACTTCTTTCATGCAAGATGACACATGAGACTCATTCACAGAGGTGCGTCTAACTTTCGTGGATGGCCCCACAGCAGAGGGCAGCCAAAACAGGCCCCCAAGGCCACAGTCCATTTTTATCAATGGTTCTACTGGAACAAAACCACGCCCACTTGTTTACACACTGCAGAGCTGAGCAGACCACATGCAGACTATGGACTTGGGTCCCACACGAATAATATTTGTCCAGCCCTGCTTTATCCCAGCGTATGATGCCACGATCCTTTTTCCAACCCACTCTCCTATCGATGAGCATTTGGTCCTTTCAAGAGTTCAGCTATGTCAAATAAGTTGCCATGAATATGCTTTTAAAAACACTTTTCATGAGCAGCGATAGACATTTTTGTCGGGTATTTTCTTCGGAGTGGAATCTGGTGGTGTGCTTCTCCTTACTGTAGTAAAAGGCCAGTTTTTCATGGTGGCTGAGCTCCCTCCCTCCCTAGCAGCTCTACATGGAAGCTCTCCGATCTGCATCCCACCAACACTGGGTATTATACATCTTTTAAAATGTAGCCACTGACCAAGAAGAAGCCTAACACAGCTGTGTCCTCTGGGAAAGGACCATATGTCTGCAGGTTCAGCAACCGCACCCCTGGGGAGTGGGGGTGTGGTCACGAGGGCGTCTACACCTGAGGGGAAAGGGGTCTCTGGAACAATCTATCTTCTGCTCAACCCAAACTGTTCAAGCGGCTATTAAAATTCAAAGCCATTTTTAAGAAGACCAAAGTAGAGACAGATGCACGACATCTTGAATAGACCCCGAGACCACTGCCACGGGAAAAACGCCAATCTCAGAAGATCACGCTGTTATGACTCCTCTCATAGGACATTCTGCAAATAAGAAAACCATTGAGATGGAGACCAGTTTGGTGGTTGCCAGGAGTGAGGGACAGTGGCTGTCGGGGGTGAGGGACAGTGGGTGAGAGACAGGGGTTTCTGGGAATCAGGCAAAGCAGGCAGGGGTACTGAAGGGACAGGCACAAGGGAGATGTCTGGGCAATAAGCCGTCCATGTCTTGCTGGGGTGTAAGTTAGATGCCTCTCATGACCCTAAGCTGGCCCTCTGGAGGGAGTCGGTGAGTTCCCCTGGACTTCATGCTGTTGTGCAACCTCCTCTAGGTCCATGTACACCCTGGAACTTGCCTTTTGACTCCCTAATAGTATCTTCTGATGAAAACAAGTTCTTCCCCCAGCACCACAAACCCACACAAACATTTTATTTTAATGTAGTGCAGTTTATGAATCGCTTCCATCCCTGTTATCAAACCTTCCCTGCCCAGGATCATGTAGATGTTCTTATCATCTAGAAGTTGAATTATTTGCTTCTTCACATTCATATCTGGTGTCCATCTAGAACTGCCTTTCTGTGTGTGGCATGACATCGGGGACATTCTGGAGGCGTTAGTTTCAGTGATTCACTCACACAAATCACGTTTCTCCATTGTGTCCACACTGCCCACACCCTGCTGACCTTCTGCTCTTTCTTGTAGAGGGGTGTGTTAAAATCTCCACCATGGCCATGAGCGCATCCAGGCCTGTGGGTTTTTGCCTGTGCACCCGATGGATGCGTCATCAGAGGCACACAAACGCAGAACACTTACGGCCTCTGGGGCAACTGACCTGTGATTTTAAAGCGCCCATCTTTACAGCCTGACATGTCTTTTTGCTTTTGTCTGATCTCTGTCTGGCTGTCAAGAGGCACGCCAGCCCTGCTGTCTGGTTCCATGCTGATTTACATCTACCTACACATTCACCCTCCCCGTGGCTCTTCCCGTTCTCCTCAACTCCAGGCTTCTTCTCCATGACGCAGACATACTGAGGACAAATTTTCTCCATTTTCATTTGCTTTCTTTTACCTATATTTTTCTATCAGTTTATTGGGAGCCTTATTTACTATTTAATTTGGATAACATAAAATTCACCTACTTTAATTGTACAATTTGATGATTTAGTTATTTTTTTGGTCACAGATTTTTTTTGTTTGTTTGGTTTTGGTACCAGGGATTGAACACAGGGGCCCTCAGCCACTGAGCCACATCCCCAGCCCTATTTTGTATTTTATTTAAGACAGGGTCTCACTGAGTTGCTTAGTGCCTTGCTGTTGCCGAGGCTGGCTTTGAACTGGAGATCCTCCTGTCAGCCTCCCGAGCTGCTGGGATTACAGGCATGTGCCACTGTGCCCGGCCTCACATGGGTTTTTAATGTTGTATTTTCAAGAGCAAAGTGAAGGTGCCACTCAGGAGAATATTAACACCCTGTTGTTCTGGCAAGAAAAAGTCCCTCCCATGCCCTTTCTTTACGTAATCCATCACTGGTCCTTTTATGACCCCAGCTAAACATAAATATGAGGCTTGGTGAAAACACCTTTCTTTTTACCCTTTTCTTTTCTACCCATGATTGTGCAGTAAGTGCTGCAGTAAGTCTACGACTAAATCATTTTTTATTTTTTCCTTCTCTCTTCCTTCAGTGACTACGTCAGGAAAAGAACTTTGAATTACTATGTGTTTAAATTTAATTCACACATGATCAAAGGGTAATGCTGTTATATGTAATGCCCTTACTATCAAAATTCCTAAGTCATTTTCAAGAACTTGTTTTTAGAAATACTCTCTTGTTCTGACAAAAGTTGGAATTTATTTTAAAAGATTTCAGTATATTTTGGAACTTTGACCTATGAGTGAAAGTTATCAATATGGTAACCCCTGAGACTCCTCATTCCTGCACAGAGCTGCAGTGATCTGATGCTAATCAAGCTGACAGGGCTGACCCTAAGTCGTGGGCATTGTGCCCACTTTCTGGATGAACATGAGCTAGTGACACATAAAGTCGCCCCTCTCCATCTGCTGTAAAGAGGAGTCGTGAAACAAAGCTGAGGACCAGGAACTGTTTAGTTGGTTGCCAAAACTTGTTTACCTTTATTCTAGAATATTCTTTTCTTTTCAGCACTATAATTGATATTATTCCATTGTCTCCTCCTCGCCGTTATTTCAGAGAAAAATTAGCTGCAAGTCTTACTACTAATGCTTATAATCTGTCCATATTCTCTGGC